GCTTTCCCTCAACCCAGAGAGGGAGTGAGGGGGCAGGACTGCTGGTATCTTCCTAGTCAGAGGATAGGAGTTCAGCCTCAAGTAAGACCTTTAAGAATGTTTTCTTCTTCCTCTGCCTCTACTTCTCACTATCTTCCTTTAGTCTATCCCCCAAGAGTGTAAGTTTGGGCAAGAAAAAGAGTCCACGGAGATAGAGCAAGAGCCAGCCGGTAGTCTGCAGTGAGGCTGGTGAGGAGGGAAGGGGAATGAGCCATCACCAGATATTCCCCTGAAACTCACACTCACTCAAGACAGGGCTGCACCCACCGCGGTACTTGGAGCTTTTACCCCAGTGGGAGGCCCATGTAAAATTAAGAAGAAATCAATCAAAAGACAATACATGTTCAATTTAGAAATATTAGAATAGCAACAACAACTAAGGACAACAGAACAAAAACTATTATCCCACCACACAGGGACCAACACCCTGCTGGACACCCTTCTGAGAGACACACACCCACACACCCTTATTGAGAAACAAAATGGGATTGCATTGTTTCTTGTGAGGCTACCAGAAGATGCCAGACACACCTTTTTCGCATACGGATTATTTTGAGCCAAAGGCTATCTCAAACTGCCAGATGTGGGGAAACTCTAAAAACAGGGCACAAGGTTTTCTTTTTGTAAGAGAAATTTACATTTATGAAGGAAATATGTGCTTGTAAAAGGCATCTTTCTCCTCTGTGACTAGAAAAGGAGGACTCTTAACAACTCTCATCAGTGGAGGAGGCACAACTTCAATCTGTGGAACAAACTTAACCAAACAACCTGTATTTACTATACTTTTCCTGGTTGCCCCATAACTTGCCTTCCCCACCCAGAAGCCCCGGACTCCTTTCTCTCGTTTGGCTTAAGCTGGAACATAAGCCCAAGTTCTAACCACCCCTGGGGTTACTCAGCATGAGTGCTCCCATGTGTGTGCACCATGGACGTGTTACTAACCTTATGCGCGTTTTTCCCTTGTTAGTCTGTCTTTTGCTGGTCTAATTTATAGGGTCCCAGCTAGAGAACCTAAGATGGGTAGAATAAAAAGATTTCCCCCCTCCTACAATTGAGACCTGTTTTTTCATATTCCACAGCTTGTCCATATCATGATTTAGTGAACCAATAGACATTTAAATTATTTCCAATGTTGACTTAGAAACATTGTATATACTTATAGCCAAGTGTATAACTTGGCAGTGTATAAACTTATAGCCAAGACCTAGTACATAGCCTTCACTATTTCCTTACAATAAGAGTATCCTTGTGGACTGATAAGTCAAAATATAAATATTTTTGATGCTTCTAGATTCACACTGACAAAGTGCCCACTGAAAAACTTTACCTACTTGCAATTCTACAGGCTATATACAAGAATGCCCATTTTTACCATAGACACTGTATGTTTTCATACAATGCAACACATGATAAAAAGAAAGCTTTTAAAAAAGAAAGCTGAAAAATGTATCTATGTTAAAACTAACATTTCTTTATTAATAAATTAACTATGTGTATTGTAGATTTGTTGGTCAATTGTATTTCTTCTTCTGTGAATTGCTCCTTTTTAGGAGCTTGACTATTTTAATATTAAGGTGTCTATCATTTCTTTCTATTCACAAAAAAATATTTAATTCTAAGGAGATTAGCCTGTGTTGTATATCTTGCAAATGATTCACTCTACTAAGTGTTTTGTCTTTTAATATTTTTTATTACAAGTTTTTATACACAGATCTATTGATCCCTTTTTTTCCCATGGTTTCTTCCCTCGAAGCCATGCGCATCACTTAATCTTGAATTAGCTGTGAGAGGAACAGAATTAATATTTCAAAAAGAACAGAAGCTGCTCTTCACGGACCCATGAGAGCTTAGGAAAAGCCTTCGGGAACATGAGAGGAAGAGGGGACAAGTGCCTCTAAAAGCTGGGTCAGGTTAGCAGTTGGCCACCACCACCTGGTCTAGTCCAGGCCATGACAGGCTGGAGCCCGACAGTGGCTGGCGTGTCAGCCACTTAGAAGCAGGAAGGCTGCATGCTAATTGTTTCTCAGGGTCGGCAAATGCTTTTGAAAAAAACAGGTGTGCTTTAACCATCCTTTCTTTTAGAAATATTTTTTTTATTATTATTTAAAAAGAAATGTTCATTTCCAAACTTTGATAAAGTAAAAAGCAAAAGTTTCATTTCAGCCCCCTCACTATCGTCGAAGTCCAGAACAATGAGCGCTGTAAAAACTCTGGCATGAACAGATATTTGCAGAGTCATGTTCATAGCAGCATTATCCACTATAGCCAAAAGGTGGAAACGACTCGAATGTCCATCAATAAACGATGGGTGAACAAAATGTGGTGTAGCCGTGGAATATTATTCAGCCTTTAAAAAGAAAGAAATTCTGACATCTGCTACAACTTAGATGAACCTCGAAAACATTATGCTAAATGAAATAAGCCAGACACGAAAGGGCAAATACTGCATGATTCTATTTGTATGAGGTTCCTAGAGTAGTCAAACCCAGAGAGACACAAAGTAGAATAGACGTTACCAAGGGCCGGGGAGGGGGGTGGGGAGTTGTTTAATGGGTATGGAGTTTTTGTTGAGGATGATGAAAAAGTTCTGGAGATTAATAGCAGTGATGGTTACACAACAATATGAATACACTTAATTCCACTAAATGGTACCCTTAAATGATTAAGATGGCAAATTTTATGCTGTGTATATTTTACCTTAATGAAAAAAAAAAAACCTTAAAAAAAACCTCTGCCTTAAAAAAAAGTCTTCCAGACTTTTTCCCATACGTACACTAATAATAATATAATATACTGTGGTATGGTGTAGTGTGATATGGTATAGTGTAGTATAAACATAGTATAATACATACATTATACATAGTATAATACATAGAAGTGTAATACATGTATTATACTATACATATTATTTTGCAACTTGCTCTTTTCATGCGATTTACCAAAAGTGTCTTTCCATGCCTTGCTTTTAGTTCTAGTTCAGTCTGCTTTGACCATTATACAGTATTTCATAATATGAATGTGTCATAATTGTAGTTGTTCACAATTTTTTTATTACAAAAAACAAACATCCTTGAACAGGATTTTTAAACATTTGTGCAACCATTTGTGTAGGATAGATTTCTCCAATTAAAACCACTAGGTCAAAAAATGCATGCATTTTCAAGTTGGTGGAAACTGCCAAATTCCGTTCCCCAGGAGGTATTGATTTACATTCCTTCTGATGTTGTATAAAAGTCCCTGTTTCTCCACACATTTATGTCAATAATGTAAATTAGTATCTTTTCTAATTTTGCCATTCTGATGGTGAAAAATAGCATTGCATGGCTATGACATATTTTTCGGTAGCAAATATGTTTGATATTTCTTCTGTAAAGTATTTCTTCTGTAAACTTATTAGTTATATGTTTTGCCCATTTAAAAAAACTATATTTTCTCATTGATTGATAGGAATTAGATATGTATCTTGAATATTAATAATTTTTCATATGTATTGCAAACATTTTGTCACATCTTTTCCTTTTGCTCAGTAGCTCTTTGTCTATACATAAATTTTACATTTTTCTGTAGTCAAATGGGCCTATCTTTTCTTTATTATTTATGGATCATGTGTTAATGTAGGTAGATCTTCCATACTCAAAGATGGAAAAATATCTTTCTATATTGTTGTTTTAGCTTTATCATAGGGTTTTTTTTTTACTGTGTCTTGCTATGTCGCTCAGGCTCAAAGTCCTGGGCTAAAGCGATCCTCCCACCTCATCAGCCTCCAGAGAGGCTGGGACTACAGGGACATGCCACAATGTCCAGCACATTATAGGTTTTTTTACTTTAAAAATTTAATCCAACTGTAATTTACTACTGTGAATGCTGCTCACACAGACACGAGGTAAATATCTTGGGCTTCCTTTTACTCAGTGGTGGCAAACAATTGCTTTGACTTAATTTTACTTCCTAGGCAACTTTCTGAGAGCTAATTTTCACATTTGTACTAAAAGTTGAAAAAGAAAGCAAGCACACTTTTTAAGTTTTTTTTACTCATTGTGCCCTAAAGAATGTAAAACTGGAAATTTACTTTGGAAATCTGTCACTGGGTCATTCCTTTTTTCTGTGCCCAGATCTGTCGGGCCATCTCATCAGGGTATGTCTGTCTCTGCAACACCGTCTCTCTCCGTGTGTCACAAATGTCCTTCCCCTTTTCTCTCCCTGTCCCCTGTCCCCTCTCACTTCTCCTCTTCTCCTTATCAGCTCCCCTTCCTTTACCATCTATAATGTTAACCACCTTAAATGTTTTTGAATCATTTATTCTGGTGGTTTAATAGTATTTCATAGTCTCTGTTTCTTCGTTTGTTTTGGAAGAAGGCTTTATTTACCTAACTGTGAATTTCACTAGAGTTGTAAAATGTATGCTAAACATAGGGTTTGGGGATTGCAAGCCTTTACAGCTGAGCCTCTATTTGTTTCTTTCTGTTTTTTAATCATAAAAACAATTTTAGAACATTAAAAACATCTTTTTGGAAAGACAAAAAATTCATTTCCTAATGATTTCATGTGCATACATTTTCTGATATTTATAATTATATAGGATAAATATTTGTACTCTATGTTTCACTGTATCTCTACAGGGTCATGTTAAAGCAATATAGCTGAGTGGATAGAAGGCTGTGTGGCTGAATTGGGCTCCTTGTTTATAGAAGGGTGATCTTGGTGTCTACCGAGCCTCTCAGTTCCTTTTCTCTTTCATGGGGTTGATAACTGCCCCTCATTTTTTTGGCAAGTATTAAAATGTGATAAGAAAATACACCCATAAACACACCTGCTTTGTCAAAGGAGCACATCAGAAGGGTTGGTTTGTGTGTGTGTGTGTGTCTGTATTCTATGCTACTGTAAAAAAAGCAAAAAAGAGAGGCATGTGGTTAAGCTCTAGGGGGTTGGGGGTGGAGTCCACCAGTCTTACTTCAGTTCCTTTGGCATAAAGAGCTCAGAATCATAAGAAGGAAACTAACCCTTAAGATGAACCTCTCCTGTAAAATTGTAGCCAGCTTACTTCTGATTTTCAACTTTTCTACCAAAGGTAAGTTGATGTGTGGGTCTCCACTGTCACTGTTAGAAGCTTCTTTGGAAACCCTGAGGTGAGATAGGAGTCAAAGAGGTCATAGCCCAGCTTTCCCTGGCAGTGAATCTCAAGACCTCAGCAACTGTGTTGCTTTTCACAGATGCAGTCCTCAGTGAGACCGGGAATGCCAAGGAAGTCTGGGGTGTCTTGGATCAGGAAATCAACTTGGACATTCCTAATTTTCGAATGAATAATGACATTGATGATATACATTGGGAAAAAGGAAAGCCAAACAAGACCAGGGTTGCACGACTCAAAAAAGACAAGCCACCTTTTGTTCTAAATGAAGCATATGTGGTATTAGCCAATGGAACTCTGAAAATTAAGCCTCTGAAGAAATATTCCGGTGGTACCTACAAGGTATCAGTATACAATACAGAAGGGAGATTCGTGCGAGAAGAAACATTTGATTTGAAGATTGGAGGTAAGTGTTCATTCCCTAAATATTTTCATTTCAGCAAGTTGGAAAATAGCATTTATAACATTCTCCAGCCTTGACCTCTGCCTTCAGGGGGGCTCTGAAGGACATCGAATATATCCCTCCTGCCCCTGTGGAAACTCCAGCCCTGGGGCTTGGGGGTGGAATCCACACCTCTGATAGACTCTCAAGTCTATCTGCCTACAGCTCTCTCTCCAGGTGGTTACGGGGAATAGGGAGCTGGGTGAAGAACCCGGATGAAGGTGGCATTAATCAGAAGGGGAATAAGTGGGCAGAGGAAAAAGGGGGCTATCGCAGGTGGGTGCTGAAGGGGCAAGCTAAGAGTGTGGCAGGAAGGTGAGGCTAATTGGAGAGCAGCGGGTCTGTCATTGGGAGAGCCAGCTGTAAGCCAGGGTGCCCCAAAGGAGTAGTTAGTTATATCATAGGAAAGGGCTGGAAACAGTGCATTTAAGGATGAGCAGCCCGTGTGTTGGATCTGCTCAACATCAGAGTGATCAAAGGTGGAAGGTGACTTTTGCTGATATGTGTAGAAAATACACAATGTGAGGCTTTGTGTGTCTGTACTTGTACTGGGAGGGCAGGAGTAGATATTGAAGACAGAGGTGGGGAGACCTGCCAGAGGCTGCCGCTGTAATCAAGTGGAGCGGGGAAGGGCTGGTGGGTGATCTTTAACCCTGGTTGCACATTGGAATCAACAGGGATGCTTCTAAAAGTCACCAGTGCCCAGGCCTCATCCTAGACCAATTAAATCAGGGATTGGGCTATGGAGCCTGGGCATCCATAGGTTCTAAATCCCCCGGAGGGAGGGGGTGCAGTTCCCAGCAGCAGGCAAGCTTGGCGACCACAGGCCTAGACGAAAGGGGGCCTGTGAGGTGAGGAAGAATGAGCACACTGAGGGTCGTGTTGGAGAAAGGACAGACACACCGGTTGGGTGAGGGAGAGAAGGAGGTGAAAGTGGAATTGAAATGCCATTGAACCTGAAAGCCCATGGGACACTGTGCAGGGAATGACCAGAAGGGAGAAGGGGAAGCTGCTTTCGGCTTGGAGAGGCAGACAGGAGCCCCAGCGCGGGCATGCGCCAGTCATTCCGTGAGCGAACCAACGCTGCTGTGCTGCACACAGGAAATGCCGCCAGAGCCCGAGGCCCCCTCCTCCTGCCAGGGCTCCCTGCAGCCCTGTCCTCAGCACCCGGGCCTGGCAGCAGCCCCACCCCAGCCACCCCAGGCATCACCAGCTCCCCTGCAGCCTTGAATGGAGAGCACCTTCCAGAAACGGGGTGGGGCTCGGAATGGTGCCCGAAGGGGCCTCTGACTGGGCTCTGTGGGCCCTGCAGATCTGGTGACTGCAGCCAGCGTGGCGCAGGTGTCCTGTTGTGAGCGTGAGCCTCACATGGAGGACCGCGCTGGTGCTTTCACACTGGTGGGAATTTGCTGTGTGGTGGTCATAAAGCTGGTGTCAGGCGCTCCCTTGCAGATCTCGTGTGGAGCTCCCAGCAGTCCCCAGGGGTAGTAGAGAGGTAGTCGTTACTACCCCCTTATTCCCTATAAGAAAACAGAGACCCCAGCAGAAGCAGCTTGACCAAAGTCTTGTTGCTTCATAGGAGCAAAGTCAGGCTCCAACCCTAGAGGTCCTTTTGGCAAGGAGGATGACCTTTGTCTTTTTTTCCAAACACCTTCTTTGAGATATAGTTCACATACCACACAATTCGTCCATTCGACGTGTACAATTCAATGGCTTTTAGTATAGTCACAGAGTTGTGCAACCTTCACTACAATCAACGTCTTCATTACCCCCCAAAGAAACTCTCACACCCCTTAGCCAGAAGACAGGGACTTGCTGTTGTGTGTGTACATGTCAACGTCACACAGCGTCTTCACTTGTGGTCTGGTCACCATTCCTTGTCACGTGGCCTTGGGTAAATTCCCTATCAGCTCTGAGTCTGATTTTCTTAATAACTTCAAGGCATAGTCAATGAGACCATGTGTGTAAAGGTGCCCCGCAGTGCCCGGGGCACAGTGCCTGTTTGCCCAGTGCTAATGCCCTCCCGCATCTCCCTGCTTCTCCAACTTTCTCTAGCTTCCGTCGTGGCACCCCCATCTCCTTAATGAAGGGGCTGCTGCAGGCATTGGAGGGCCCCTTAGATGCAGGTGCTGGTAGAGAAGGGGTTAATCCGAGCATCTCAAAAGTAAGGAGTTGTCACCCTGAGAAGGCCTTTTCAATGCCACCCCCCCTCGATATTCAGGCCGCAGCACTGGTAGGAAGCCATCCTCACCGAGGGGGTGTGCCCAGAGGTACCGCTACACGAAGGCACTCATCACTGCGCTGTCTATATTGTTGAAATACTGGAACAGATCAAAAACAGATTAGAAATTCCATCAGTTAGAAACTTATTAATTAAATTAAGAATGTGTCATTTTAAAAAGATGGTGGAGATATACATTTATGGATGTTCATAAAGGAAAGAATTTCGTAATATAATTTCATAGTAAGGCGAAAAAGGCAGAGTATAAAATCACACAATCCAGTTTTAATTCTAAAAATATTATATGTATGTGTGCATACACATAGAAAATATCTGGCAAAAATAGACATCATCATTAAAATGTTAATTATTATTTACTTTGGGTAGTGGAATTGGGGGTGATTTTTAATCCACTTTAAACTTTTAAAAGTAGTTAATCAATTTTTATAACAATTGAATGCTACTGTTATAAATACAAAAAGAATGTTTCCATTTTGAAAAGACAGGTAAACACTGTGACCCAACCCCTAGGCTATGTACTGACTCTGTTGCTGTATGTTGATGTTTTTCCATTTTCTTCTTTCTGGGTAACAGAAAATCTCGGGATGGGAAGAAAATTTAATTTAATTTCTGCATGCTTACACATATAGGGACAGAAATGAAATTTGGCTGGGACGGTCCATGGGGAAGATATTGGTGTCTGGAAGTCAGAGTGGGAGGGAAACATTGAAAAATGAGCTGTCTGTCTGCATTTTGAATGGAGAGCATCTGAGAGGGAAGGGTGGTCGGTCTGGGGAAAGAGAGTAAAGAACGAGGAAAGGAATACAAGAGAAGAAAAAGGAGAAGCTCACACAACTAGGAAGCAGTGGAGCTAGGATTTGGACCTGACCCATCTAACACCAAGGCCAAGTGTATTTTCTTTTACGATGCAGCCTTTAAATATCATCGTGTCAGAAAAGGAGAGGCAAGAGGTTTACCATTAATGAAAGCAAGAACTACCACTAATACTGTCAGTACCTAACAACTTGCCCGGGGCTTTGCGGCATGTTCTCCCTTTTGTGATGGGCAGGGAATGTTTCTCTCATCCTTCTCTTATAGATGAGGCCCACCGAGGCACAGGGAGTAGTCAAGCAGCTGTGGCTGGGAAAGGCAGAACCATGTCTCTGGTTCCCAGGCTGGTGTCCTTTCTCTCCAGATGCTTTGAGCTCCTTGGACACCCACACCCCCATGTGCCCCCACCTGGCCCTCTGGACCCTGCTGAGGGTAGGGGGCCACCAAGGTCCCAGGCCACTCATGTGGTGGTTCCTGCAGGGTGGGGTTCGTGGCTGCTCCTAAAACATCGCTCCTCTCAAGCTCCTGAGGTGAGTGGGGATCAGGACAAGGTCACCCTCTTACTAGCACTGCTGAACTTGGACTCAGAAGGGAAGAAATACATCAGCCTCTCTGCTTGTTAGGATTAAATGATATCATGTATGTAAAAACATTTTAAGGTATAAGGCAGCACATAACATTAGATATGACATACTTTTTTTTTTTTTACTGGTATAATTCATCTACATACTTTATCAGAAATAAATTTGTTCTGATGTTCTATGTAAAAAAAAATATAATAGAATTATTTTCAAAGTGGCTAGGGGTCTTTGAAATTGTTCCTTGGTCCCAAACTGACTCCATTCCTCCCTGTATTAATAGGTATGTCTATTAAAATCAGAAAATTGCCTAACGTGAATTGGATCTTTATTTTCTTTTTAGAGTTGGTCTCAAAACCAGAGATCTCCTGGGATTGTATCAACAAAACTTTGACCTGCGAGGTAATGAAGGGAACTGACCCTGAATTAAAGCTATATCGAAATCAGAAACATTTCCTGACAAGTATTCAGAGGATCATCGTACACAAGTGGACCACCAGACCGCATGGGAAGTTCAAGTGCACAGCAAAGAACAGATTCGGCGAGGAATCCAGTGAGAAAGCCGACATCTGTCTGGGTACGTAGCGAGCATCGCCTCACGCACAGCCTGCTGGGCCCCGGCGGGTGGAGGCACAAGCTCCAGGCCACAGAATCCTCGGCTGGGAGGCAGCCTTGGCTCAGGATGAGAAGTGAAAACCTACCGCTTCCTCCGGAAACCTACAAGGGAAGGCTTAGAGGGGATGGCGTTCTCTGGTCACCTATCTTGGGAGTCTTCCCACTGAGCACAATTTGACCTTGAGCAATTAAAAAGATCTTTTTCTGTGAGAAAGAATTGCAGAATTGGAGAAGGGAAGGAGCTGTGGAGATTACCTCATACAAAGCCCCAGAGAGGGAAACTGACTTGCCCAAGGTCCCTCCGCTAGTTAGTGACCGTGATTCCAATCCCTCCCCTAAAGATTCCATGGTGGAAGGGAGCTGGTCAGTGGTGAGCACCTCCTACCAGGAGTGAGGGTAGAAAAGCTGTAGAAACCCTGGGAGATGAGGCACAGGGGAAGGGAGCAAGCCAGGGCGGAGAGGACTGTGGGCACAGCATGGCCCCGCTGCTCACGACACCAGCAGGACAGCCCAGCATTGGGACTAGCTCCAGGAAGTCCTGAAACTCCAAGAGTCTAATTTATCACCAGTGTCCCTGTTTTCCATGACCTCCAGAAGAAATTTTTGAGAGGCATCTTCTAGTTTGGGTCTATCCAGATGTAGCCAGATGACCTTGATGGAGTGTCTTCCTCTCTCTGGGCTTTAGCCTCCTGGTCCACAAAGAGAATGAGCTCCATGATCACAGAATATCAGAGGAGTAGACTCTTGGATCCACTTCCAAGCCCAGGCATATGGGCCGTTGGGCTGCCTCACAATATGGCAGCTGCCTTCCCTCAGAGTAATCTAGGAGAGAGCGTGAGTAAGTGCCCAAGACAAAAGCCATGGTCTTTTTACAACTTAATCTCAGGAATGATATCCTAATCATGTCTGCTGTCTTCTATTCATTAGAAGCAAGTTGAGAAGTCCAGCCCACACTCATTCAGAGGGGACTACACAAAGATGGGATACCAGGAGTGAGGATCACTGGGGCATGTGAGACTTTGCCCATCACAAACACAGGCCAGCATCACGTCACCCCTTATGTTTGCCCATCAGCTGTCCCCCACAGCCCCCCATCAGTGAGGCACAGTGAGTGAAGCTGCCCCTTCTTGACTTCGTGTCTTTCTTTCCCCTTTCAGCAGGCCTTTGATTAGAGTTGCCAGATTTAGCAAATAAAAATACACCCTAGGTATGTTCCAAATACTGCCCAGAATGCTAGAAATTATTCATCGTTGATCTGAAATTCAAATTTAACTGGGTATCTTGTATTTTATCTGGCAACCCTGCTCTTCATGTTTATTTTAACTAGAACCCACCAGTATAAAAATGTGCATGTGTTAGGGATGGAAGCAGGGAGGGAAAGAAGACCTTGGGAGAAGCCAAATTTTGGAGGCTGGAACATTTCTGTCCTTTCTGTCCCCTTGAGCAGGGGCTGATCACAGGAAGTGTCAGTGGGGGGACACTGGGAGGGAGGGGCTGCTCTTAAAGACCCTAAAAGGGATTTGGACATCTCATTCTCCAAGGCCAAGGTGGAGAGGAGCAATGATCAGACTCTCACCATTTGGCTCATGTCAGGAGAGTGTGCACATACTTCAAACCAAAATCCTTAGCAGAAGGAACAGATTCAGGCACACAAGAAGTGCTTCATCACGTAAACTTATGGGCATGTTATCTCTAAGAGAAACTGTACGGCCGGGCGAGGTAGGTCACGCCTGTAATCCTAGCACTCTGGGAGACCGAGGCAGGCAGATCGCTCAAGGTCAGGAGTTCAAAACCAGCCTGAGCAAGAGCAAGACCCCATCTCTACTATAAATAGAAAGAAATTAATTGGCCAACTAATATATATACAAAAAATTAGCCGGGCATGGTGGCGCATGCCTGTAGTCCCAGCTATTCAGGAGGCTGAGGCAGCAGGATTGCTTGAGCCCAGGAGTTTGAGGTTGCTGTGAGCTAGGCTGACACCACAGCACTCACTCTAGCCTGGGCAACAAAGTGAGACTCTGTCTCAAAAAAAATAAATAAATAAATAAGATAAACTGTAGGAAGATAGTGTGATTGGATTTAGGGATTGTAGGGACATATTTTTGAATGACACTGTGACAGCTGCCTCTGAGACAGGCTGGAATGTTCTCCACCAAAAGCATCACCAGGCGCCCCAAAGGGCCACAGTGCACAAACCTGAGAAAAGACTGAGTGTGCCCAAGATAAAGGTGTGGCCACCCTTCCTCAGGACTCTAAGGTGAGCTAGTGGCTGCCTGACTTAGCCATTTGCTACCCAATGTTCCACCCTAGGTCAAATCTGATAAGCTCTCAGCCCAGCAGGAGGTAAACTCCTTCCTGCAGCCCCAGCCTCTCCTCCCATCCAGCAGGGCCTAAGGGACCCGGAATCCTTTCTCGGCTCAGCTGCATGGCTCACCTTGGGCTCATGCCTGCTTCTCTAGTGACACCCCTTCATTGGTAGAGCACAGGCAAGTTGCGTCACTGGCGGGCAAAGAATGAGTCAGAGAGGGACGTCAGCAGAGAAAACCAAGGATGAACAAACGACCGCAGTTTGATAACCTGTTAAATTTGGTTTCCCAGCCTCTGGCTTGCTCACTGGGGCTCCTCTGGGGCTTCGTGTCTAATAGTGTCTTCCTAGGGTTGTTTCGCTGGGGAAGCATTTCTTTTGTGATGCTGGGCCAAGCTGCAGTTTGTCCTCCAGATGCCCTGGCCCCTGACCCCCGGCCCCTCTGCAGCCCCTCTCACTGTATTGACTGACAAAGGGGCAGACAGCCCAGCACCCCTCCTGGGAAACAGCTCCCAGAAACAACAGCTCAGGGAGCACTAGTGAGAGCAAGACCTCACATTCGTGTGTTGTTTTACAGTTTACAAAGCACTTTCACATCCATTATCTGATTGACTTCCAACAGCCACCCTGTGATGTAGGTTTCATTATCTCCATTTTGCAAAGAAGGAAACAGGTTCAGAGAGGTGAAGTAACGCAGCAAATGTCAAATAGCTCTTGCCTAGAAGAGCCCGGACCCAGACCTGTTTCCCGTGACACCAAAGTTATTGTTTTTAAGGTCTGGGCACTGGAAACTGAGTCCGCTGCTGTTGCTAACTCACTGTGTGCCTGGGCTTCCCTCGGGGGTGCAGGGCGGATCTGGGAGGGTGTGCGGGCTGTGAGGTCAGTGGGCTGCACAAGGGAAATATTCCCCCTGGGGGTCTGGAAATGGCCTGGTCAGGAGGGCGAGCAAGAATCGTGGTGCAGGAGGCAAGCCAGAGATGGGAGCGGCGTAAACAACGCAGAAATACTAAGACAAGGGGCCGCTCAGGGAACTGCGCAGGAGCAGATAAAGTGTGGCCTCATTTGGGGGCCTCATTTTGAAACTAGAAGTTATGCTATAGTACCTCTAAACTCCTCAGATCCAAAATTCCATGACGCTCTCCGAGAAGGGAAGAATGGACAGGCCCTACCACGTAAATAATCAGATGAGTCTAGTCTAGTCCCTGAGAGCCGTTTCCCAAGGAGCCTGCAGAGGGGCTTCCCCTGGACTCTGGGCCCTTCCAGGAATGGACACAACTCACCACCCTCCATGAACTTGGCCTCTATGAGACCGAAAGCTCCTATTGAGCTCTTTTGTTTTGTTTTGTTTTGAGACAGAGTCTCACTTTGTTGTCCAGGCTAGACTGAGTGCCGTGGCGTCAGCCTAGCTCACAGCAACCTCAAACTCCTGGGCTCAAGAGATCCTCCTGCATCAGCCTCCCGAGTAGCTGGGACTACAGGCATGCACCACCATGCCCGGCTAATTTTTTTTTGTATATATATATTAGTTGGCCAATTAATTTCTTTCCATTTATAGTAGAGACGGGGCCTTGCTCTTGCTCAGGCTGGTTTTGAACTCCTGACCTCGAGCAATCCGCCCGCCTCGGCCTCCCAGAGTACTAGGATTACAGGCGGGAGCCACTGCACCCGGCCACCATTGAGCTCTTTTATCTGCTTGGACCAGGAGGCAGCATCCTCGGCCAGAGCAATGAAATGACCCCTGTGTCTGGGCCCACTTCTTTTTTTTAGTTTTGCTCAGGCTGGAGGGTAGTGGCATGATCTGTAGTTCACTGCAGCCCTGAATTCCTGGGCTCCAGTGATCATCCTGCCCAGTAGCTATGACTACAGATGTGTGCCGCCATGCCAGGCTAACTTTAAAAAAGTTTTTCTCTTTTTTTAGAGATCTGGTCTCACTATGTTGCCCAGGCTGGTCTTAAACTGCTGGCCTCATGCAATCCTTTTGCCTTGGCCTCCCAAATTACTGGGAGTTCACGCATGAACCACCATGCCAGCTCTCATCCCTCTTCTTCTCTTGCAGAGAAAGGTCTGGACATCTATCTCATCGCTGGCATTTGTGCAGGAGGCACCCTCTTCTTGATCTTTGTGGCCCTGCTCATTTTCTATATCAGCAAGAGGAAAAAGCAGAACCGCAGGAGAAACAGTAAGCTCCCCTTCTTCCACCCCACCGCAGGCCCCAGCAAAATCCCTGTGAACCGTCTCATGGGGACAACACCTTGGACTCAAAGCAAACCGTGGAGATGGGTAGTTTCAAAATGTCAGCATTGAAACCAGTGGGTATAGCCTGTTTCATTTTGTGGTTAGCTTGATTTTTGCAAAACAAATTCTTGATTGGCAACTATGTGGGAGCTTCGAGATGCTGAGTCCAGGTTAGCCTCACTGGAATCCGCTGAGGCCGCCTTGGCACAAGGCCAGCGTGGATACATTCTCCACCTGGGTAGGAAGGTGAGCTTCATGACACCATTGCTAGGAACCCCCATCCTGTGCGTGCATGGCCCACAGTATGTTCAGGACCGAGCTCCTAGGAACACAGGTAAAATCACTGAGGTGGCCAAATACTCACAAGAAAAGAGTTGTTCTAAACCAGGGTGACTGTGCCCCTTTTCTAACTCACCCTTCAGGAGAGAGTGTTTTTCCTCAGATCATGCCTATCCAACAACCCCTCAAGAATGCAAAGGCTGTGCTCGTGAGGAGCAGGCTCAAGGGCATCCAGGCCACCCAAGGCAGAACACATCAGAGAATGACAAACCAGGTGTTGCTGCCGGGTGGAGGCGGGTGTCAGCCACCAGCAGGGTGTGCAGCTAGGCGGGCAGGCCTGGGGCCCTGTGCAATCCCAGTTCACTGCAGGCCTGGGTCCCCTTTTGCTGGGTCTCTCCCTGAATGGGCCCAGGCCACCCACACCAGCTAATTCCTGGAAGGCCCAAGGACAAGGTCAGAAGTTCCACAGGCAGTGGTGGCCTTGCGCCCTGTGCCGTTCTGATTTGCTATCTTACCCCGACTTCTCTTTTCAGTTCTCCCTCGGTCGCCCCTTCAGGCTGCAGCCTCTCAGCCCATGTCCCATCACACCACGGCCCCCAGCCTGGCCCTGAAACATTTTCCTAAACTCAGTGCCTGTTCTTCCCGCCACCATCGGTCCACACTCTCCACCCCAGCGGAACGGAACCTCGCACAGTCCCGTAGGCACACATGCCTTCCTCACTCTGTCCCCTCGCAGCTGCACTCAGCCCCTGCCCTGCAGAGACCCTTTCTCCACCACCTAATGGTCAAAGACCGCATATGCTTCCCGGGTGGACCTCACCCATCACCCCAGACAAGGCAATCTCTGCCATCGCCAGGCCGAAATGACCAACATGATGATGAGCTTATGTTGACAGAGAAGTCATTTGTGCCGGGCACAGGTCTCTGTGCTTTATACTCATTATGCATCCAGCTTTCAGTGTCATCATAGAAGGCAGATGACATTAACACAAATCAGGAAACTTAAGCGCTTCAGTGAGGTTAAATTATTTGCCTCTTATCCTGCGGCCAGCAGGCTGTGGGGACCAGGCATAGTGAGGCAAGGAGCCCAGGGCGCGGAATTTAAGGCGGAGCTCTGCCTTGGCCGACCTGCCCTGAGGGTGGATCCCTCCTTACATTTTAGGTCCCATCTGCCTCACTTGCCTCATTCTAGTCCAGGCCCGAACTGAGCAAGCTGAGATGCAAAGGAGGGCAGACAAGGAGCCGGGGGGAATGCCAGCAGCCCGCGGGAGTTTCAGCAGCGGCCGGAAGTTGCCGGTGGGGGTGAGCTGGGGACTCGCACTCCTGCTCCGACCAGGCAGGCTGCTAGCCTCATCTGTGCAGCCCACTCCTGCCACCAGAGCTCATGGCCTCTTTCTGCACCATCTGGTGGCCCTGGGCTCTCACGCTCACTGGAAACTGATTCAGTGGTTTGCAGTTCTGGGTCATCTCACTTGCTTGACTTTAGGCTTCCTGAGGATAGTGTCTGTGTCTGAGTCCTTACTGCTACTTAGCGATGGCAAGTAACAGCTGCAAGATGAGGAATAAGTGTTGGGAGGACAAATAAACAAAGTGGAGGACAAACAGAGCGGTGAACAAATGCCAGCCCGAGCTTGCCAGGTAGGACATGAGGAAGGATCACCCACTGCCCCGCAGCTGGGAATTGGGGTCGGGGTCAAAGTCCTCTCCACAGTCTCCAGGGCATAACCTCACCTACCTTGGGGCCCCGAAGATGGCATAAAGGATGTGTTTTGTCCTTTTTCTGGGGCCATTTCTCTTTGTGCTTAGAGCGCACAGGCCACTCAGATGTCAAAATCACATTGTCTGACTTTGAGTCTTCACATGTGAAGCCACCTAATGCTTGCATTCCTAGCAGTCAGAGCAGGCCATTTGGGTTGGCATCGTCACCTTGAAGTCGCAGGGTGATGCCCAGACAGGGGCTGTGTTTTCCCAGCCACACGTCCCTATGATGGTTTAAGAGACTGTCGATTTACCCCAGGGAGAATCTTCTCTTCCTACCTTCCTCTGGGGGTCATTGCAAAGACGGCCTTGGGTGCAAGGATTGGGATCCCTAACTTGCAGCCTAACAGAGGCCAGAGGGGCCCAGCAGGGCCATCACAGATTTCTTGTGTGATTTTAAGGCAGCACAGGAAAAACTACGTTACTGTTAGTCATGGCTCTATCTTCGTGGACAGAAATCACTCAAAGCAGAAAATTCTGGAAGATGAGGAGAGTAATTCTTTCCCTCCTAAGCCTGAGAGCACAGGCCATGAATTTCTGAGGAACTAGTAAATTTCTAAGGACTGAAAAGTCCCTTGTATATGTTCCAACCTCTCGCCAGAATGTGGGTTGCATGACAGCAGAACTGAGCGAAAGGCACAAACCCATGGGGGCGGGTGTCGTTACTAAAACGACATGACTACTCGGACGCCATTGTAATGTGCTCTGACCACAGGGTCCTTGCTCTCAGGGCGGCCGCTGGAATGGCACAGAGACAGGGCTCTGGGTTCTGAGTGCTCTCTTTGCTCGTGGGCTCCCCAGGCACGAAGCCCTCCCCAGGCACGAAGTCCTCCACCTGTGTGTCTTCTTCCCACTGGTTCCTGGAGTTCTCTGAAGTCCTGGGCTCTCACTCTACCTGTGGCGAGCGTCTCTGTCTCTCCTGTAAGCTCTGTGAGGGTAGGGGCAGCTGCTGCTTCCTCATTGCTTCCCCCAGAGGAGCTAGCATTAACACCTCGCACACAGAGGTGTTCAATATTTACACTGATTGCATCTCGCCACGATGAACTCTATAAAGGTTTTGTTGTTGCAGATGAGGAGCTGGAGATTAGAGTCCACAGAGTAACTACTGAAGAAAGGAGCCAGAAGCCCCACCAAGTGCCAGCCTCTATGCCTCAAAACCCTGCGGCTTCCCAAGCACCTCCACCACCTAGTCATCGTTCCCAGGCACCGGGTCATCGTCCTCTGCCTCCTGGTCACCGCGGCCAGCACCAGCCTCAGAGGAGGCCCCCTCCTTCGTCGGGCGCACAAGTTCCTCAGCATAAAGGCCCACCCCTCCCCAGACCTCGAGTTCAACCGAAACCTCCCCGCGGTGCTGCAGGACACACGTCCCCTTCCTCTAATTAAAAAGCATAGAGACCTTTCTTTCCGGTAAAAGGCACCGTGGATTTCTCCAGCCCGGGGGTGCACATCCGCACTTCCATCGGGTGTTTTCTACGAGCGGAACATCATCGCCTCCCGATGCTCGTGGACCATAGCTACCTCTGCACCTTGCGACCCAGCATGTGGTCCACATCTGGGAGGGAGAAACAATAAACATGTGGCCGTGAGGATGATGGGAGACGGAACACAAAAATCTTAGCGCTCTCTTGTCTCCCTCTCAGCTCACGTGCAGATGAGCTAAGCCAGGTGGCGGCTGTGCCCAGGTCTCCCTGCAAGCAGCCTGAGGGACTCTCAGGTTTCTTGTGTGCCCTGGTGGACACATGCCCACCGTCCTGTGAATAGAAGTGAAATAAAGGCTTTGACTTGACCTCTGTCTGCTCATTGTAGAAAGGAGTCCAGCATCGAGAAGAGGAAGCTACTGAATGGGAAAGAGGTGCATGGGTGTGATAGCAGGATCAAATTTGGTCAACCTGGTTCACCTGAGTCACCTTCATCCTCATTCAAATGACCAGAGCATGTTCCCCAGGTCACAGCTGCAAAGCTGAGCCCAACGACCTATTCGTAGATTTGTGTAATGAATTGAAACCTCTGTGCACAAACGTCAACAGAAGGCACCAAAAAACTTAATCTTCTTGGTCTCACTTTCTTGACTGTTCAGACACGGTCAGAGTGACCTGCAGAGTCACCCTTGAAAAGAGGGGAGTCCGTGAATACTGGAGGTGCCCTGAGCCCATTGGATGACATAAAAGGGTGGGCTCAGAGACAAGTTGGTTGAATCAAATCCTAAGTGTCTTAAATGACCATAATTAAAAGGTCAGACCCCGTCCCCAGCTAGAAGTCATGCTAGTTGTACTTTGGGGGAAGTGGAAGGAAAAAAACAGCTTTTAGTTAAAGTTAGAAAATAGTAGGTGGTGAGAAGGCACCTTGCTTTGAAATGTTGGTGCCACGTTTGTGGTCCCATCCGCCCGCCTTCTCCTGGGCTTCTTCGGCTTGCTGAACTTTGTTAAGCTCTGGCAGGAAGCTCTGAGGTCTAAACCACAAAGTCAAGTATATTCAGGGCTTCCTGTGAGAGCTCACTAATTGTTGAACTGCTTTTTCCTCTGAGTCTAAGCACCTATTGTTTTAGCTCATTACCAAGGGCAACGATGAAATCAGCCTCCTGAAATCCAAGCACAGAATCTAGTTAGGGAACAATCGACACAGGGCCTCCGGTGGTGGAGATGAGGTCTCTAGTGCTGCCCGTTTCTCATTCTTCATGGCAGTCTTGCGTGGCCCTGCCATTCCCTTCAGAAAGCCTTTCCTGGCCTTCTGGCCCCGAGCTCTACCTTTCTTCTGAAGTCCTGCGGTGTTACACATGGTACAGAGCACACACTCCCTGTTCAATCCTTCGTGACACATGCATTCATTGAAGTTCCACTGCATGCCAGGCGCTGTGCTAGGCGGGGGGGGGACACAGAGTAGTGCGGCTGCATCTCTGCTTTCAAGGAGCCCACAGTCCCGTGGGGGAGGGGCGACACATGTGACCCAGTGTGATAGATCAATACAGGCCAAAGGCAAGAGCGGGAACCCAGAGGAATAACTGAGAACCCAGGTTGTGTGGTGGAACTGGGCTGTCACAAAGGGCTTCCGGGAGGAGGGCAACTCTTCCAAGATTCATCCAGAGAGGTGGGATCACAGGGCAAACCACTGCACCCAAAACTGGAGAGACCAACCGTTGAAGGCAGAAATTTGTGGCTCGCTGGAGCAGAAACCCCGAGCGCAAGCATCCACAGGAACCAGCAAGGTAGTGAAGCCTGAGCTATAACTGAAGGATTGATGGAGTCTCAGTATGAACAAGCGTGAGAGATAAAAACTCCCAGGGGCAGGGATGCCTAGTTATTTGGGGGTCCCCACACTTTTGTTGAGTTTTGCCCCCAGGAGCTCAAATAGATTCTCACAGTGATGCTGAAGAAAAATCTCCTTGTACCTCCCGCAGGTGGATCGGGGGAAAGTGACTACAGTCGTCTCTCAGTGTACATGGGGGACTGAGTCCAGGACGACTCCCCTCCCCCAACACATATATCAAAACCCACACATACTCAAGCCCCGCAGTCAGCCCCACAGAACCCACATATATGTGGTGGTTTTGAATCCTGTGAATACTGTATTTTCAATCCAGGTTTGTTTGAAAAAATCCACATATAAGTGGACACTTGCAATTCAAACACATTTTGTTCAAGGGTTGGCTGTATTTTGAAATATGCCAGGCATTTTGTTCTTCTTAACAAGATCTTCCCTCAGGAGAAACTATTTAACAAGAGCCTAAACTGTGAGGAATTTTATCAGAGTCTAACTGACCTGAGGGGAGGGAAATACCCAACTGCAGCCCCCTCAGCCTTCCTGGAAGGAGAGAAGTATCCAACTCCAGCCCACTCTGACCATCTTGTTCCACTGAAAGGACAGAAGAAACTGAGAATACATGAGAAGTTCATAGTCCAGAGGTACAGGCTCATTAAAAGACTGATACCTTTGGTGGTTCTATAGAGCACTTCCCTGCACTCCACAACTTACCACTACAGTACTAAGGGCCTATTCACTGCAGTTTCTTTTATTGGTACATCATGTCTGGCTATGAGGAAAAAATTATGATCAGGCGTGGTGGCTCATCCCTATAATCCTATTACTCTGGGAGGCCAAGGCGGGAGGATCACTTGAGGTCAGAAGTTCAAGACCAGCCTGAGCAAGAGCGAGACCCTGTCTCTACTAAAAATTAAAAGGGAATTACCCAGACAACTAAAAATAGAAAAAATTAGCCAGATATGGTGGTGCATGCCTGTAGTCCCAGCTACTCAGGAGGCTGAGGCAGGAGGATTGCCTGAGCCCAAGAGTTTGAGGTTGCTGTGAGCTAGGCTGATGACACAGCACTCTAGCCCAGGCAACAGAGCAAGATTCTATCTCAAAAATAATTAATTAAAGAAAAAAAAAGAAAAAATTATAAGACATATTGAAAGACAAAAACCAAAAAAACACAATTTGAAGAGACAGAGCAAGCTACTGAACCAGACTCAGGCAGGAATGTTGGAATTACGAGGCTGGAAATTTAAAGCAACCATGATTAGGATGCTAAAGGCTCTAATGGATAAAGCAAACAGCATGCAAAAACAGATGGTCCATGTAAGCATAGATAGGAAAATTCTAAGAAAGAATCAAAAAGAAATGTAATAAAGATCAAAATTAGAGATCAAAAACAATGTAGAAGTGAAGACTGTCTTTGATGAGTTTATAGGTAGACTGGACACAGCTGAGGAAAGAATCTCCGAGTTTGAGACTAAATAGAAACCAACAAAGAGAAAAAAGACAGAAAAAAAAGAAAAAACTCTACAAGAACTGTGGGACAACTACAAAAGCTAAGACATACCCATAATGGGAATTCCAGAAGGAGAAGAAAGAGGGAAAGAAACAGATATCTGAAACACTTATAATTGAAAATTTCCCCAAACTAATGTCAGACACCAAACCACAGATCCAGAAAGCTCAGAGAACACCAAGCAGGATAAGGGCCAAAACAAAATTATACCTAGGCATATCATTTTTAAATTACAGAATGTCAAATATTAAAAAAAAAATCCTAAAAGAGACCAGAGGAAAAAAATTACCCTAGCTAGAGAGAAGCAAAGATAGGAATTACATCTGGAATCTCCTCAGAAATCATAAAGAGAATGAAGTGAAATATTTACAGTATCAAGAAAAAAAAAAAACAATCTAGAATTCTGTACCCTGCAAAATTATCCTTCAAAAGTGAAGGAGAGGCCGGGTGTGGTGGCTCACGCCTGTAATCCTAGCACTCTGGGAGGCCGAGGCAGGCGGATTGCTCAAGGTCAGGAGTTCAAAACCAGCCTGAGCAAGAGCGAGACCCCGTCTCTACTATAAATAGAAAGAAATTAATTGGCCAACTAATATATATATAGAAAATATTAGCCGGGCATGGTGGTGAATGCCTGTAGTCCCAGCTGCCAGGGAGGCTGAGACAGGATTGGATTGCTTGATCCCAAGAGTTTGAGGTTGCTGTGAGCTAGGTTGATGCCACGGCACTTACTCTAGCCTGGGCAACAAAGTGAGACTCTGTCTCAAAAAAAAAAAAAAAAAAAAAGGTGAAGGAGAAATAAAGACTTTCTCCAACAAACAAAAATTGAGGGAATTTGTTATCAGTAGATCTGCCATGCAAAAATGTTTAAGGAAATTCTAGAGAGAGCAGAAAATGTTACAGTTCATAGACTTGGATGTATATAAAGAAAGAAAATCAGAGAATGAATAAGTGAAGACATAATAAAAACTTGTTTTTCTTATTCTTAATTGTTCTAATAGATAACAGTTTGTCCAAAATAATAATGGCTCGAAACAAGGGATTTGATTATGTAAATATACATATGTATGCTTATGTATAAATGAAATGACTGACAGCACTGATACAGGGATAAGATGGAGGAATTTGGATTACTTTGTTATTATAAGGAACCCATAATACCTGTGGCATAATGTAATTTGAAGGTGGACTCAGATTAGTTGTAAATGTGTATTATAAACTCTAAGGCAACCAGTCAAAAAAATTTAAAAAGAAGTATATGGATACGCTAAGAAAGGAAAGAAAATGGCATCATATAAAATATTTAACTAAAACCACAGGCTGGACATGGTGGCTCACAGCTGTGATGCTAGCACTCTATGAGACTGAGGTGGGAGGATCTCTTGAGGTCAGGAGTTTGAGACCAGCCTGAGCAAGAGCGAGACCCCATCTCTACAAAAAATAGAAAAATTAGCCAGGAGAGGTGGTATGCACCCATAATCCCATCTACTTGGGAGGCTGAGGCAGGAGAATCGTTTGAGCCCAAGAGTTTGAGGTTGCTGTGAGTTAGGCTGATGCCACTGCACTTTAGCCAGGGCAACAGAGCAAGACTCTGTCTCAAAAACAAACAAACAAAACCCGCAAAAGGCAGAAAAAAAAATGCAGAATGACATACCATGCTAACACCATTCAAAACAAAGCAGGAGTAGCTATGTTAATTTCAGATAGACTTCAGACCAAGGAAAGTTATTAGGGATAAAGAGAGTATTACGCAATGATAAAGGGGTCAATTCTCTAAATAGACATACAATCTTTAATGTGTATGCACCTAACAACAGAGCATCAAAATATGTGAGGCACCAGCCTGGACAACATAGCAAGATCCTGACTCTACAAAAAAAAAAACTTAGCTGGACACGATGGCATGAAACTGTAGTCCCAGCTACTTGGGAGGCTGAGGAAGGAGGATCACTTGAGCCCAGGAGTTCAAAGCTGTAGGGAGCTATGAAGTCACCACTGCACTCCAGCCTGGATGACAGAGCAAG